CACCTGAAGTCTACATAATGTTATCATGTAATGTCACGTCAGTAAAAAAAAAAAAAATTAACTTGATTTTTAAAAATGCATTTTGGAGAGGAGGAACCAAACAAAGCAAGTCAGTGCCCAAAAAGGCCTGCAGCACAAGACAAAAGCGATGTCCAAATGCACCCAGTTCACGAGGGCCTGACTGGCTTCCAGTGACCAGCAGCAGCGAGTAGCATGCAGCCTCCCCACCAGGCCCCCCAGTCTAGCAGAGTCCAGAGGCAGCACTTCTGGTCGGGGAAGGTCGGCTGTGACAGCTCACTTCATCTTCCTCCCAGACCTCGGTGGCAGGACTTAGGGCCTCCCTTCAGCACAGAGGTTCTGCCCTGTCTGGTCTCAGCTCATCAGACCTGGCAGAAAGGTGGGTTTTTGTCCCCTGATGGATGCAGAAGCTCTAAACAAGGAGTGTGTGGGGGGCCACGCTAAGCTGTGAGACCTGGGGCAAGTGTCTCACCCTCTCTGTGCCTGGGTGTGTTTAATGATGACATGGCCAGGTGGGGTTAATCGTACCCCATATGGCAGAAAAAAACAAGCTCACCCGTGTCAGGCGCTTAGTATGAGCCTGGCAGGCAGTGGCCAAGAAACAGAAGCAGATATTTCTGTTGTTGCCCATGCTGGGGCGCAGGGCCAGGAGGCCAGGTGGTGGGCAGCGCCTGTGCCCAGCCTGGCCTGCCAGCATGGGAGCCCATTGGGGGCTGATTCCCAGAGCCGGAGAAGGGTCAAGGTGTCAGACTCGCTCACTTTGAGCTGACCGCAACCGGAGCTCTGGCTGCGGCCCTGCCTTCCGCAGGCCCCAGACTGTCCTGGCGGGGAAGCAGGCGGAGATGTCACTTTTTTCCCAAGAAGTGTTGAATGTGAGTTACATCCCTTGGGACTGGGTCCCAGTGCCAGGCATCTAAGTCAGGTCCACGCCAGGCTCTGGCTTAGGAAGACACAATATCGTGCTTTCAAAGTAAAGAGACTGGTTCTTTAATTTGCTCCTTCTGTTTTGGCTCCTGGAGTCTTCTGAAGGAATGTGTCTTCCTAAATTTCGCCGGTGCCTGAATGCATTGGCAAGGAGCCTGGGGATGTTGGATCTTGTCAAATTCACCCATGTCTTGTCTTGGGGGTCAGGAAACAGCCTCTTTTCTCTGCTCGCAGCAGAGTGTTCTGGAGATGGCCCGTCTCCCTTCTCTGTGCAATGTCTCAGGCTGAGTCCTTCCCACGAAATACCGTGAGCTCCTCCTACCCACAAACTCTGCCCAAGGAAGGTCTACATTCGCCTCAAAGCCCTGCAGAGCTGCTTCCACACCTCCTTCCCCTCCATCCACACCACCCACCCCCCTTCAAATTCAGTGTCACTCCTGGGGTAGGCTCAGCACACCTGCCCAGGCTCAGCTGCGTCGTGGTTCAAGGCTCAGTTTTACAGTCAATAGAACTTCTCCCTGCCTAGCACTGGCTGTGTGACCCCGGAGAAGGGACTTTATCTTTCAGGACCCCGGTATCCTGGTCTGCCACTAAGAACCAATAACTGTCAACAGACTGTGCAGGGACTGGTCTCAGCAGCGCCTGGCACAGGTTGGCATTCGGCACACTGTGTTCCCGCTGATCCTGACATCCTGCTGGACTTGTGTCCGTTCACTCATCTGCGTCGCCCCCCGAAGCCCTTGGCACACAGTAGAGACCCGGGAGTTGTTGGACTCAAATTCTCTAAAAAAATTTTTTTAAAGAAAGGCCAACCTGTCGCCCCTCCTGCTTTGGAGGGTGGCCCACGGGGACCCAGCCCTGAGAGCTGGTGAGGTGCAAGGGACGGGCATGACTTCCAAGTCAGCTGCATTTGGTGGTGAACCTTGGCTCTGCTGCTTGCAGCTGTGTGACCCAGGGCAAGTCACTTAACCTCTCTGAAACTCAGAAGTAATGGGGCTAATCACGCCTTGAAGGGTGGGGCTGAGGACGGGATGCATTGCGGAAGGGTGCCTGGCTCTCGGCTCAACTGCTGCTGCCTTCCTCGCTGCTCCTGCTGGCACTTTGACTGCTCCTGCTAGTATCCTTATTCTGCCTGCAGATTTAGTCACGTCCTTCCTTTTTTTTTTTCCCCCAGGCTCTCCCTGGCTCAGCCAGCCTCCTTCCCTCTCTTTGCTCTTATGACTCACTTGCAAAGGGCTTTTCATTTTCCCTGTGTGCGTATGCACTACCAGAACCTGTTCTAAAAGAACAGGAACCTGACGCCTTTGACCTCGGTTCCCCGGGAGGTGACCCGAAACTCCCTCCGGAGCAGCGTGATGGCTCACAACCTCCCCCTGGCTCCCACCCACCCCCCACTCGTGGGACTGGGACTCGGTGACAAAAGTGACCATGGATTGAAACTTGGCCGAGAGGCCCTGTTGAATCCCTCCTTTGTGATGGAAGTAGTGCGGCCTGGCTCCCTGCAAGTGAGACCAGGCATCCCTTTCCCAGTTATGCAGCTTGGCAGGAGGAGGTTGGGGTGCAGGGAGAATGGTCAAGGAGCCTCTTTGTGGTGGGGGCTGGCCTTGCTACCAGACACCTCCGCTGGCCGAGAGCTCCTCCCAGTGTCTCCGCTGGGCCTGACGTTTCTGGAACCGAACCAACCGTGCCATGGGGGGCCGGAGGCTAAGCTCCATGGCCATGTGAGGGTCTCGCAGTCAGGTTGCTGGCTTCTGACCTGGTTCCACAGGATTTCTGGGGTTCGGCGGGAAGGAGCCAAGGGAAGGCTTGACCATCAGCACTTGGAGCCCTGAGCCCTGTGTCAGCCAGAGCAGCGCTGCTTTCTGCTGTTTGATTTTATTGAAATCACTGTCTTTGCATTAGATTCCCGAGCTGCAGTCCAGGCGTGGGCTGGCAGTGATGACCCCACTTGGGTCTCAGTGAGATGGAACTTTCTGGTGTCCAGAACTCTGACTTCTCTGAGCGTGGCCCCTTCCCCTAATGCTCCCCTCCTCCCAGGGACATCCTTCGTGGCTCTGGTTGGTCATAGATATGCATGGGGCGCAGGCAGGCTGCCCCATGGGAGGAGCGAGACTCAGGTCACTCCCAAACCTGCTGGCTTCTACCTGGGAAGACCAGGGAGCAATAGAAACCCCCTCCCACCCCTGTACCCCACTTTCCCCGGGACATTACTAGAGTTACCTTCTCGGGTCAGAGTGTGGATCATCCTATCTTTCCCATGTTCCCAGCACATCATTTGCCTACACAGACAAGATTTGGGTATCCAGGCACTCTGGAGAGCTGATTCTATCTAACCCTCTCCCCCTCGGTGCCAACCTTAACCTGAGAATTTTTCCTAATATGAGACATTAGCTAAGCTTTTTAACTTGCCAGATAGTTGTTCATTCCACTGACAATAGTTAAGTGCTTGTTAGGTTCCCCGCACACTGTGCTGTGCTGGCGCTGGGCACAGGAACCAGGCAAACAGGAATTTTCTTTCAGGGAGTTTACATGCCAGTGGGGAAGACAGGGAACCAAGAAGAAAGCAAAACCAAGACTGTTACAGGTTGTGAAGTAATGTCACCTATCCGTGGGAAGAAATGGCATCAAGGAACTAAGCATGGGGCCCCAGAGTAGCTGGGTGAGGGAGGGGGCATTGCACAGAATGGCCAGGAAAACCTTGCTGAGGTCACATTTGAACTGAGTGAGAGAAGTAAAGAAGGAGTCAAACAAAAGAGAAAGGTAGAGGAGTGATTCAGACAGCAAGAATAGCAAGTGCAAAGGCCCTGTGGCAGGACCCGCATGCGCGTGATGTGACAGAGAAATAAAACAGAAGCCACTCAAGATTAGGGAGCCAATAAGGTCTGAGGGAGAGGCACGAGCAGATTCCAATCTGGTGGCGATAGCAAAGGAATTTGAATTTATGCTGTCATGGAAAGACTGATTATTTTGAGAAATTCCTATCATAAATTATATCAGCCAATCTACAAAGTTTATAGAAGACAATTGTGAAGTTTAGGGATTAAAACAAAAGGCAAACATCCACGTATCCTTCTCTGTTGCCCTCCCCAGCACCATTCCTCACTCCTCCAGGGAGATAGCTATTAGATTGAATTGCAGTTTATAATCTTTGCATTTCTTCCTAATGTTACTGTCAGATACTTAACAGCAGGGATAGGGTCAGAGAAATGCATCATTAGGCAATTTCATCATTGTTCAGATGCCATAGAGTGTGGTTACACAGACCTAGATGGTCTAGCCTACTACACACCTAGGCTGCATGGTGTGAGCTATTGGGACCACCTGTGATCCCTTAGTGACCAAAATGTTGCCTAGCAACATACAGATATACAAAATATAGCCACATATTGTTTGGTTTTGCCTGGGTCATATCAATAGAACCATGCTGTGTGCATACTTCTACAATTTGTTCTTCTGTTAACTGTCACATTTTTCAGAGTAGTCCTATTGGTACATATAGCTGCAGGTTTTTCATTTTCACTGCTGCATAGTATTCCACTGGAGAATGCTGTCTTGGCTCATCCTTTACCCTGGGGTATGACATTCTAATGTTGTTTTCTAATGATGAACCATCTCTCCCCATACTCTTGACATAAAGCCAACTTGTAGGTGATTTATATATTTTAAGCATGGTTAGATTTCACTTGTTGATATTTTGTTTAGGAGTTGTGTTTCTGAGCTGGCTGTTCAGATTAGCCTGTCATTTTCCTTTCTTGCCTTGCTCTATTCTGGTTTTGGTATCAAGGTTATACATTCCTCACAGTATTTTCTCTGGAACACTTGTGTCAGATGAATAAACCAGGGAGGGTTTAGTAAATGTTACTACATGTTGTCATCCTGCACAACCCATTATTCTTGTACAAAATCTTGGCCTCTTTTGGTACAATGTTCTTTGCACGTTCCTACCCCAAACCCTCCCCTCCCCTCCAGAAAAACAAAGGAAATGTATGTCCCCCACCACCATGAACATCTCAAATAGTCATGCTCACAGCTTACTTAACCTTTCTGGATTTTCACAGGTGGGTCCTGAATGCAAGATTTTAGCATGAAGTGTTGTTACAGCTTTCCTGAGCCTCCCCAGCTAACAACAGGTCGGTGCCACTCCTAGCTACTAACATTTTTTCTCTAAAACCCAGATGTACAGTGCGTCACTTATCCCTTCAGGCCCCCTTGAACATGAGCAGAAATGGGTCCAACTCTGGGGTCCAGAGGTGAGTCTGGTCCAGCTGGGACCCCAGGCTGCCCACCATGCCTGCTCTGAGTTAGGGACATCTTGGGAGCCACATGATCCAAATCCTCTAAGTACAAAATTAGCTTCTTTCCATATTTTTGAAAGGGAAAGAACACCATACTAAATATAACATGGGTCAACAAGCCAGAAAGGAGCTGAATGGCCAAAGCTGTACCCCAGGGAGCTGGTCCCAACCCCGGCTGACCGTCGACACCTGGTCTCCGGAGGGAGGGCGGTGTTGATGGAGAATTTAAAACTACTGTTGGACACATCACCCGGCATGAACTCTCAAACTAAAACCTTCATTTTATTGCCTTATTTGAAAAGCAACACATTAACCCTTCCATGCCTTCCAATTCTCTTTCTCGCCACCAGAAAATGAAAATAAATATCACTCTAACCCCATCACATGGAGAAAACTATGAACATCTTGGCATAAACAATTGGAGTGTTTTGAAATTTAACACATTACAAAGTGTTTGTCCTTTTTTTTTCTCATTAGCAACCTCCGAGGAGCATTTTTTGGCATTATTTTTACAGTGTTCCCTACCCCCTCAATTTTAATAATGCAGATATACTGTATACTATTCTGTATAGACTGATATCTGTGTACTGTGAAAAGACACAAACCATTGTAATAGCTGAGATTTCTTTTTACACCATCCCAAAGAACCAATTTTTGCCCCACTTGAGTGATCGCTCTCCAATGAGAATGCTTTAAACAATATTTGATAACAAACCTTCCCTTAAGAGCTTACTGTATCCTGGTCGCATGCTGCTTAGGTGCTTTATATATGTTTGCCTGCTTACTTATCACAAGTCCCCTATAAAGTGAAGACTAGAAAGCCCTATCTCCATTTTACAGTTGTGGGACCTGAGGCACAGAGAGGTTAAGTCACTTGCCCAAGGTCACACAGCCAGGAAAGTACACAACAAAGTCCTGCGCCCAGCCACCTGGCTGCAAAGTTCACTTAATCACTGAACTATGTTGCCTAGCAACCATACATTTTGATCACAAAACATTCAAAATACAGAAAGAGAGGAAAAGGTACACTTCTCAAGTCCAACCTCCCCCATCTTCAGAAGCAATTATTGGTTCAAGTTTAGAAGGTGCTCCTCATCTGGGAATTTTACATATGTGTTTGTAGATATGAAAATATATTGCCTTTTATTTTAACACAAGCAGGATCTTTTAGTCTTCTTTCCTCTATACCTAATGGACATATCTGTCTATAGAATTTTATTAAAATTAGAATCACACTTAACATGTTCTTTTAACCTTGTTGTTTGACTTTAAAATGTGGCATTAGGGGCCTCCCTGGTGGCGCAGCAGTTGAGCACTGGGTTGCGAGGCTGCCCGCAGCCTCTGCAGCGCTGGTTCGATCCCCAGCCACCGGGCGAAGGTCCCACATGGTGCGCAGGCCTCCCCTGCCGCCCGCTGCTCCCCTCAGCAGTGTACTTCGTCAGTCTGCCTGCTCTGCTCTCCCCTCTGGCTCTGGTGAATTCTCTCACCCTCCCGCGCTTCTGACTGTACCCAGTGCTTGGATAAATAAATAAATTTTTTTAAAAATGTGGCATTAGCTGCTTTGAGACCATATTTTTGTAAGTGTGTGAGCCATGTTTCTCTAACCAGATCCAGACGACTGGTTACAGAAGTGGTTTCTAGTTTCTCACTCCTATAAAGCTATGAAGAATAACTTTACTTTGTGCATAATTTTTCTTTGCATATAGAACTGCAGAACCAAAGCATATAAAATGGTCTGCAAATGCCTAACACCCTTACCCACCAGGCCACTATCACCTGCTTTTGATCCTTGGCAAGATTTTCATCTCTGCCTGTAATTCTCACCTGGAGTCTGTTTCACTGACTTGACAATGGGAGGCCAAGTTTGAACTGAGAATGAACAAGAGCAGAGCAGTAGGGCGATCCAGTGTTCGAATCACAGATTTAAAAGCATGGTGTCAGCCCCCCAGGCATGCAGCCTACCTGGCAGGCCCTTAGGGAATTTTCCCCCTCTTCTGCTTCCACTCTGAGCCAGGTCTGGATCCACTTGCAGAACCAATGCATTTCTAGGGCTGCCTAGACCTTAGTCCGTCCCTTCACTGGCCGTGAGCGACAGTGTGAGAAACATAGGCTGTGGGCCCCGGGGACTCTTCCCAGCTGTTCCCACTGTGAGCATCCCCATAAGGATCCCTGTTTGGTGCCCTGCATGCCATACAGTGCAGATGCACACACACACACATGTTCCTTACTGTGTGCACATGCATGTGTGCATGCAGCACATCCTGGGCACATTATGACAAGTGACACTTCCCCCAGCCACTTCCTTCCACAGCCCCTGTGCTTTCTCCCCACTTTCCCAGTATCCTCTGTGGGCAGTTCTCCTGCTGGCTTGGAAGCCCCACGAATTCTAACTCGCTCACCACTGTCTCTTCCGGGGCCCATTTGCTGCTTTGCAGATGCACAAGAATTGTTTGTTGAGTTAAAAAAAGAAGACCCCGACTTCAAGCCGGTAAAGGATGTTATCCCAAATATTTTTAGAGTATTTTCTAACAAAGTGGACAGTTTCCGATGCAGCCCATTGTTTGATGAGAAAATATCTCCACAGCATCAAATTTCAAGTGGCCTGCTTCGCTGTTCCTTTGGAAAGATCAGAAAGAATGCCAAATTGAAAGCAGGGCTTTGCCCATCTAAACAACTGTAAAGTTTCACAATTTTGCAAAGGCGCTGTTGCTGGAATAACATACTGAGGAGAGGCAGCAAGGAGTCTTTCTCACTTTCCCTCCCGGGCCTCAAAGGGTCCTGAGCTGAGCCCCTCGGGTGACTTGCTTGTCGGGTTCGCTCTCCCTGCACACACGCAGTCCTGTGCCCCCAAGCTGCCAGCAGCTCCTTTTGCATGAGGTTTCTGAGCTGCTTCCTGGGAACCAGGTCTTTCATCCATCTGGGGACAGCAGCTAAGAGGAGGTATGTGCAGGCTCTGCCTTTTTAAGAAAGGGACACTCCCTTTGGCTGCGGAGAAGCTTCTCTTGCAGGATCCACTTCATTCCATGGGTTCCACAGACTTTTTGGAGTCCCAGCTGTGTTCCAGGCTCAGGGATGACTATGTGGTCCCAAATGAGAGAGATTTGCTATAGTAGTTGCTGGGGGGCTTGTGGGAGCACAAGAAGGGTTGGCTGAGTTGGGTGATGAGGGAGCTGCAGAAATGCTGGAGGTGTGTGCAAGGCAGGGCAAGAGGTGTGTGGGAGAGGCAGGGCCAGGGTGAGTCAGCCATGAGCATCTTCCTAAGGAGGCTGGGTTTTCTGCTGTAGGAAACGGGGAGCCATGGAGAGTGGTGAGCAGACCGCAGTAGGCTGTCTGGACTGGGACTGTCACTGAGCGATGCCCCTGGCCCAGGCAGTTCTGTGACAGCTGAGGATCCCAGCTCCTGTCACCATCGTTGAGGGAGAGTTGAGATGCACATGCTTTGTTAAATTCCAAAATGCTTTACGGACCCAGGGTGCTGAGCGTTCTGGCCTCCTGCAGGGAAAGGTCTGGCTTTTCCTTTTCGGGTGGGGTGGGCAGATCTGTGTCCTTCTGCAGCTCACAGAGGAGCGCCAGCACGTAAGACATCTGGAATGCAGCAGAGGCGAGCCCAGCACTGCTCCCAGCTCCTCCAAGAGTGCAGCGCGGTGTCCACAAGAGCATCTTGCATCAGAACTGAACGTCCCTCTCCTCTCTCTGCTCTCCTTCCAGACCTCTCAGCCGCAGCTGTCCCCCCAGGATGCCTCACATTTGCCTGAAGCCATCCCTCGAGAATCCAGCTGCTGTTTTACTGGCGTGGTGCTAGGGGTTTTGTTTAGTGCATTTAAGGACTGCTTGCTGCTGCTGCTGCTGCTTCTTATTTATTTTCTTTCTTTGAGCTGGCCGTGCCCTGTCTCTGGCACGATGGCCCACTCCAAGGCCAACGGCTCGCACTATGCACTGACGGCCATCGGCCTGGGCATGCTGGTCCTCGGGGTCATCATGGCCATGTGGAACCTGGTACCCGGGTTCAGCACCACAGAAAAGCCCACTGCTCAGGGGAACAACAAGACTGACATCGGCAGCGGCATTCTCAAGAGCAAGACCTTCTCCGTGGCCTACGTCCTGGTGGGGGCCGGGGTCATGCTGCTGCTGCTGTCCATCTGCCTGAGCATCCGGGACAAGAGGAAGCAGCAGCAGAGCGACGAGATGGCGCACATCCAGCGGCAGGCGGGGGCCGAGCCGCACCCCCAGGAGGACAGGTGAGGACCTGCCCCAACCTGGGGATGGACACGTGCCGCCAGCGTGCACACACACACACACACGCATGCATGCAGGGTTCGGCCATGAGGATATTTTACTCTAGGAGGCAGTACCTTCCCACTTCCTCCCATAAGGCTCTGCAAACAGTTTATATACTCACAAATAACTTTATACTTCCATCACAGTCTCCCCAGAAAATGGGTTAGTTGGATAACAGGTGTACCAAGATTTTGACACCCCCAGGGAAAGTGGCACAGACTTGGGGTGCCAGAGCCCTCAGACTGGCTGCCTCCCCATTCACCCTTACTGTATATATGTACTTTGCATTCAAAAGCTTGGGGATAGTGTCTGTTGGACCCAAAAAGCTGTGATCAAGTTTAAGAGAGAAATGATGCATGGAGGAGCACATGATAAAGGTTGACACCCCATTATAAAAAGAGCCCTTGCAAATGAATATGAAGGATAAACACGCTGGTGGGAAATTGAACAAAGGATAATGACAAGCCTTTGGGGGATGATCAAGCAATAGATGCTCAGCCTCTTAGTCACAATGGCGACAAAGGGAGTGTTGTTATTCTTTGCCTGTCACCTTGGCCCAGACAGCCCCGGGGCTAGAGAGCTGGAGGGCTTGGGGCTGCTGCCCGAGGGTTGATGGACAGAACCATTCTGAAGGGAGTTTCTCCTTTAGATGCCCACGGCTTCTGCCCCCAGGAGCTCATCCTTGGGAGACAGTCACACACGTGCAAAGGCATTTATGCCGCTACATTTAGCAGAGCACTCTTAGGGAAGCAAAAACTGAGCAACACCCCATCCCTAAAATGTGGATCATCCGGCTCCTGACACACTGTGCGGGTAGGGAGATGAAATTGGTTAGTGTGTGCAATTTATTTACAACAGTTCCCGGCTTCTGACAAATGCTTAAAAGTGTTGGCTTTTATGCTAGCACCGCAGGTTCGGGGCTGGCGTTGGGGGACCCCGCGCCGACACAGGATTTGGCGTCATGTCTGTGGCTCTCCATGGCGAGGGCGCGCGCTAACCCGGTGTCTGTGCTTGCGTGCAGCCAGGAGGAGGTGGAGGATGTCTCCACGCGGTACTACGTGCCCAGCTACGAGGAGGTGATGAGCACTCACTCCTCAGAGCTGAGGGGCCGGGACCAGAACCCCAGGATGAGCATCTCGCTCCCATCCTACGAGTCCTTGACCGGGCTGGACGAGAACACCCCCACGGCGCGCCCCGACGCCGAGACCAGCCGGGGCAGCGCTCCCGACAGGCAGAACTCCAAGCTGGCCAAGCGCCTGAAGCCGCTCAAAGTGCGGAGGATTAAATCTGAGAAGCTGCACCTCAAAGACTTTAGGATCAACCTCCCGGACAAAAATATCCCTCCTCCCTCCATCGAGCCCTTGACACCCCCGCCACAGTACGACGAGGTCCAGGACAAGGCCCCCGACTCGCGGCCCCCTGACTGAGCCTCCCTCCACAGAATGTTCCCTCCTGCCGCTCACCCTCCGCACCCACAGGCCCCCCACGAAGCCACTGCGGCCACAGTTGAGAAGCGGAGGGGCAGGGGAGGCACACTGAGCGTGAGGGTGGGGCCGGGGTGAGGGTGCTGGGTTCTGAGCCCCTCGGTGTCCACAGAATCCCACGCTGGAGAGAGAAGCCAGCCGCAGGGGGACCCCGGGGCTGTGGCCCCTTAGGGGTACAGAGGCACCATCTTCCCCCTTGTCGTTCCTCAACCTAAGTGGTGGCCGCCACAGGCCTCCCTCCAGCTGGAAAAAGAAACCCAGGAACTGGTTGAGGCGTGGTTTGGTTTTGCTCCCCAGGACTGCTGTGCCTTTGCTTTATCACCCCACCCCAGCTGTGGGCAGTGACCCCGCTCTGTGGGAAGCACGGGCCACGGTGTGGATGCAGTGAGACTGGAGGCCCGAGGAACAGGGGAGGCAGCGGTTCTTTGGAGGCCCAAGGCTCACGTTGGCAACTAGTGTCCTGGCAACACGGGTGCACTTTGCTAGTCTCTCCCGGGTCATGGTGGAAAAGGAAAGCTGTGTGAGACGTTCTGTTCCTTCTAAAATGCCATGCAACTGAGCTTTTTATAATAAAATATTTTATATGTCGTACACGTGGGTCCTGAGTCACTTTGGCACTGTCTGGCTGAGGGAGAATGATCAGCAGTAATGGGGTGATGAACACTCAGTGTCTGCCGGGCACTGTGCTAGGCACTTCACGGGCGTTACCCCACTCCATCAGTGCCTGTGCTGCTCATGGAGGCTCAGGTAATAAAGTGCCCCATGTCTGCCACACCAATTGTAAGAGGCAGAGCTGGGATTTGAACCCAGGCCTTTGGGCCCCAGGGCCTGAGTTCTTAAATACTACCGTGCCACTCAAGGTGACTTCAACTGGGGACTCGGGTTTCCATCCACTCATATGCCGAAGAAGAAGTCCTGGTGGGTTAGATGGCATCTCCGACATCCCTCTCCTGAGAACTGGCCAGGAGGGTCTTCCCTGGTGGTGCAAGGGGTTAAGCACCGCAATATGAAGCAATCCGCAGGCCTCTGCAGCACGAGTTCGATTCCTGGCCGGCCAAGAAGCAACCCACATGGTGCAGCAGACCTCTCCTGTCTCGCCCGCTGCTCCCCTCTGCAGTGTACTTCAGTCAATCTGCCTGTTCTGCTCCCCACTCTGTCTCTGGTGAATCCTCTCACCCCCTGCATCTCTGGCCTGTACCTCAGCTCTTGTATGCATAAATAAATAAATAAATCTTTAAAAAAAAAAAACAACTGGCTGGAAGGGAACGGGGGGGTCCCCAGGACCAGCTGCTGGTGGTACTGGGTGGCATGGAGAGGGCTGGGTGATCCCATGAGCCAGGACAGCAGTTCAGCTAATGAGACATGCCCAGGGGACCACAGACTGCTGGGCTGGGCCCAACGAGAAGAAGCCCAGTCTGGGCTCAGGGCTGGAGGGTGGAGTGAAAGGGGAGACAGACCTGACCCTGAGCTGCCTTCCTGCAGGGCCCGCGAGGAGCAGCCTGCTGGAGTCTGCCAGCAAGGAGCGTGGCTGCAAGTAAACTGGGGCCCCAGATGTTTCCTGAAAAGCTCCCATGGGCGCAAGGGCAGCAGTTGGGAAGGGAATCACCTTGTCTGGGATTGGTAGCAGTGGCTGAAGGTCTCACCTTTCGCTTTCCCAGTGCAAATCCAACTACAGAGTAGGGAGCACAACGGCCTGGCGGCCCGGGGCCCAGTGGTCCCAGCCAGAGGTTCTCCAGGCAGTTCTTCCACGCCCTGGGCTTCTGTTACTCTTCGTGCTTCTTCCCATGGGAGGTCTAGAAGGGACAGAGGGTAGAGAAGAAGGGGAATAACAAAGTCCCAAATGTTGCAAGGTTGCAACTTGTCGCTGAGAAATGACTTTCTTAAAGGGCTCTCTCAACATTTATGTTATAATTAATAATATGTTCATAAAATACCATTGTAACAATAAAAAATAAATAAAAGCGCTTTCAACCTGACCTCTTGCCATCTTTTTGAGGTGTCTGCCCAGCCTAGGCCCTCCCAAGGAGAGAAAAAGGTTGGGGGCATGTAGACTAAATGGTAAACACCCCCCCAAAGATACCAGACTCTAATCTCTGCAGCCTGAGAATGTTGCCTTTTATGGTGAAGTTTTTGCAGATGTGATTCAGTTCAGAATTTTGAGATGAGAATATTATCGGGGACTATCCGGGTGGACCTGGATGGTGGTTCCATCCACAGAGGTACTTATAAGTGGGGGTGGGGGGGACTGCATACCAAAAGGGGGACGGCGGGTCAGAGACCAGCCCTCCTCCCTGAACACCTCCCTTCCTGGTGGGTGCTATGGAAATGGCATGAGGACCTTATTTGTTTTGGAGGGGAAATGATCAAGAAGAATGCTACATGACTCAGAATAAATCATAGCACTCAGCATGTAAGAGACGGATGGTAGGTTCACCTCTGTCCGAAAGGGAGGCTGAGAGAACGCTGCCTGGGGATGCCAGGTGCAGCCGGAGTCCTGAGTACTTCCCGGAGAGGCAAGGAAGCTACCTGCAACATTCAAATCACCTGTCAGAGCAGGGGCCACCCTGCTCTTCTAAGTTCCCCAAGGCACACTTGTCCTGTTTGCTCATTGGTTTAAGCTTATTAGTGCTCTGTTGACTACCCCCCAAATTTGTTTTTAAGCTGAAAAGGTAAAAAATCAGAAGGAAATTCCTAGTCTTTTCCTTTCCTCTCCATCATGTTTTTATTCTTAAGATAAATTAAAGGGCATAGATGGGGAAGAAAATTCGAGAAGCCACCCTCCTACCCTAGGTGGGTCCTAAATGCCCCCAGGGCTGTGAAAGAGCAGAAAGAATTCCCACCCAGCACCCCCACCCACTCCTGCCCACAGAAGGAGGAATGTCAGCAACCTTAGGGAGTCCTGGAGGCCACCCTCTCAGGTCACAGCTGATTGGGCCACAGGTATGAGTCCACCTGATCCAGGAGAACCTATCAGAAGTTGAGCTGGGCCACCCCCACCCCCACAGGGACTGGTCCTGGAAGAGCTAAGAGTCTGCCAGGATGGCTGGTCTCAGGGGCTGGGGGCCCACTGCAAGGGGTGGCTGGCCCAGGGGGAGCTGGTCTGCAGAGGAGATGCAGGGACGCCAAGAGGCAGATGTGAGTTGAGACCGCAGAGGCGGCTGGGTCCTGATGGTGACTTTCTGGTCCTCCATCCTTTTTCCTCAGGAAACCCCGCTGTCCTTCTGCCCTTGGGTCCTATGAGAAATGCCACGTCCTTCCAGTAAGTCCCCCTTTTTAGCATTAACCCTGAATTATGTGGAAGCCCTTGAGGCCAGCCCTGCCAAGGAGGCAGAAGCAGTGCTGGTGCCTGGGTGGGGTGGGGGCTCCACCTGTTCTCAGTTTTGATTTTTCCTTTTCTCAGACTACGGTTCTCACGAAGGGGAGCCAGGAGCAGATGATAGAGGCAAGGGATTGCATTGGAGCAGAATGTGACTGCACAGGAAAGTGCTACCTGGGGTGGAGGGATATGGTATGTGTGGGGTGTGTGTGGGGTGTGTGTGTGTGTGTGTGTGTGTCTGAGCCAGCCAGCTCCATCAACAAATACTTATCGAGCTCTTACTAAATGCTAGGCACTGTGCTCGGCTCTGGGGACACAGCAGTGAAGCTCAAGCCTGCTCTCTGTGGACAGGGGTCTGCTTAGGCAGCGTTTCCCACTGTGGGTTGCTTGGCCTTGGGCAACAATGAACATGGTCATTTGGAATTGGTTGCTTGAACTGGGTCCAATGAACTTGAAGGCCAGCGAGGAACAGTGTGCGCAGAGAGAACTGGCCTGCAAGAAGAGACAAATGAAGGAACGGTTGATGGAGGAATCAGCCCTCCCCAGAGGAGCCAGCTCAGCTGCTTTGTACTTCCTAGCCTGGGCCTCCTCGGCCTAGCCTCACTGCTGCTCTGTTGGTCCATAAGATGCGCTCACTGCCTTCAATCAAGTCCTAAAAATTGGAGTGGGTTTCTGTTATTTCATGCCAAATATCCTGAGACAACTTGGTTCTGGATGGACAAATGTGAAGCCAGAATAAATCTGCAGGAACACAGCCAGGGCAACAATGGGACACGCAGGATCACTGGAAATGAACAGATCGATTGAACCACAGGCTGTAGAGGGCAGTGCCAGGAGAGCCCTTCTGAGGATTAATGGGCTCATTTGTTATCTTGAAAGCCCCAACAAGACCATTTAGCTCCTAGGACAAATCAGGCTGGGACCGGAGTGCAGAGTTACGAGGGCCAGTCCCTGTTCTATTTGCAAAACCAGAGGGCAGGAGATGGGTTTTCTAGAAGGGAGGACTTTCTGGTTTGGATTAGTCTGTTTGTTTCATGTTAAAGAAAATAAGATGAAAAAATGTGGGAAACATGGGGAAAATAATCCAAAATTGAAAAAGTTGTAATAATTGTCCAGAGGACTTGGGTCCTTGGCAGACCATGAATAGAAACCAGCAGGCTTGGGAGAGTTAGAACCACAGCCAACCAAACCCAGAGAAATAAGTGTTGATTTACACCTGGGCTGGTGTCGGCTTAGTGATGGTGAAGAGCAAGGCTCAGAGTCAGATAACCTAGATTTGTGCCACCCACTGGCTGCCCTGTGGTCTTGGGCAAATCACTGGTCATTTCTGTGCCTGGATTGATGTCTCCATAAAACAGGAGCAATTACAGTCCATAAAACTGAGGGCTGTGGGCACACACCTGGCACACTGTAACCACGCTCTGTTAGCTGCTGATGTTATTTTTATTTTCTTCTTGTTAGTTTCCCGGGCAGGGGCCTCTCCTGTACACCTGTGTGGAAAGCACTGGCTCAGTTGCTCTTGGACTGCTTAGGTTCTGGGTGGCTTTCCCTGCCTGTTTATTAGATTCATTTATTCTTAGCAATCAGAGGACAAGATGATCTGAGTTTGCATTTACCGGTCAAGAAGTTCAGAAAGAAGCAGAGGGTAGGAGGGTGAGGACCGCCCAAAAAAAAGCCTGGGAACCAAAAAAAAAATCCATCTATATCAAGGTTGAAACCAATCAGAGATTTACAGCTTCTGTTCATGTGCCAGTTTATTCGGGTCTGACCTGGAAAGGAGTCTCTCATCAATGTAAGTGAAAAACATTCCAAACATGATGGAGTTATTCAGAGCTGGGAGTCCTCCCATTCCTAGCACTGATTTCATCCTGGCACTGCCAGTTTCAAGAAATATGAACTTGGGCAAGTAATTTGACCCTCGGAGCCTTGATTTTTTCCCCAGCCAATGGAGGTTACTACCTTTGAAGCGGGTGCCTGGGGAAGCACAGGTAAGAGCACAGGGAACACAAGGGCTCCGTGACAGCTGTGGCTAGAACACAGGTTCCTGATGGAGCAGGTGAAGACCCAAGCCCTTCTCCGAGCACCAGCCTCACTCACACTCACCTCTGAGCATGTTCTGGGAAATTTCACCAGGCGCCAGGAGTCATTTGTGAAGAATCTACGCAGAAGTCTACTCCCAGAAAGTGGCAGCAGAGCCCCATAAACTAGGCCAGTTAGGGCTGCACTGGGGTCAGCTGGAGCAAGGCTCAAATCCTCAGTTCTCCATTAGCTTCCTTGTGTGGCTTCAATCACAGATGGCCCCAGCACCTGAGAGCCAGGTGAAAACCAAGCTCACGTGTCCAGGACCAGCCAGACACAGAGCCTCCAGCTCATAGACCACTGAGTCCCTGTGTCCACTCCCCAACAGGGAAGCTGGTGCTTTTGGAGCTCTTGCCACCTGTTTGGATGGCCGTCTATGAGACACCGCCAGATCACTCAGAAGGACCTTTCACATCCAACCAACAAACACAAGATGTTCCTGATGTCTTGTGGCAATGCAGTTAGCCCAGAAAAGTTACCCCAGAGTGCCAGCAGCTGGGATGGTAAGTGATAGCGAACCCTGGCACATCAATCTCAGATTCTCCAATAATCAATGAGAGCAGCGGTCAGGAACCAGCTCTCTCAGGACACTGCCGAGCAAGCCAGCCAAGTGAGGGAGGGAAAGACACTCAACTGTGAGCACACAATAGTTGGATGCATATTTATCCAGAAAAGCTGCTGGTGAGAACCAGGTACAGGCACCCAGAAGCCTTTCAAATGCAGACCCTTGGATAGGGCCCACCAGGCTGCCCATTATGTGTGTCCATCGACACCAACACCCAGGGAACAAGCAGACCCCGGAACTCTGTGCATTGGAACAAGACAAGCAGATGGGCTTCACACCAGCCAGATGGGCTTCACACTAATGCAAACCAACCAGCCCCAAATGCAATGTGTGACCAAACAGGGGCAGCTCCCACTGACATGGTTAAGCATCTGTGTCGAGGCCAGATGTGGCACTTCCACCTTAGATCAGTGGGTGCCCCCCAGCATTGATTTTGCTCCCCGGTGGGGCTGGGGAGCAACTGGCCAGGTCACAATTAGCTGCTACTGGCACCTAGTAAGCCAGGGAGCGGCTGAACATCCTGGACTACAGTCCCCACAACAGAGAACTACCTGTCTCAGGTGTAAGAGCACCCAGCTTGAGAAATCCTGTCCCTGGTGGAAGAAGATCCAGGGGCTCTGGTCATAGAGCCTAGCCGCTGAGTGTCAGCACCATCAAAAAATAAGCAAGAGGACCTCCCTGGTGGTGCAAGGGGTTAGAATACAACCTATGAAACTGTCCGCAGCCACTGCAGCACGAGTTCAATCCCCGGCAGCCAGGGAGCAACCTACATGGCATAGCAGACCTCGCCTGTCTTGCCCGCTGCTCCCCTCAGCAGTGTATTTCAGTCAATCTGACTGTTCTGTTCCCCACTCTGTCTCTGGTGAATCCTCTAACCCCCCACACCTCTGGTCTATATCCCAATTCTTGTATGCATAAACAAATAAATCTTTAAAAAAAAAAAAAAACGCAGGAGACAGACATCTTGGAGATCAGCTGAGTGTGGTACTTATCGTTAAAGATAAGTACC